ACTGTACTAATTTTAGTACACCCTTATGAACTTTAGCATATCACATTGGTCCATCCATATAAAGTGTCTCCCTGCTATTAGTTCTCTGTCCATATCTTTCTCCTGAGGTAGGAAGATATATGACAATATAAAATCAAAATGATAAGTTTTTGTATTGACATAATTACCACTACTTTCAAAAACCTTCTATATAATTTAGAATAATTTCTTTTTTATGGTTTTATGACATAAAGGACAGGATGCTGATCTATTAAACCAAACTGATTATTTTTAAAGCTATATTTCAAAGTTAATAATAAAATTTCTGATATCATTTAATAACATTTTTTGGTATAGATTGAATATTTATTCATGGTATAAATAAGTATTTCTTAAAAGGGTCAAAGTTCTGGTCAATATCTGTGTAAATTGAGTATGAATATTTTCTATTATTCCAAAAGATCATCAAGCCATTCAGAACTTAAACTACTTTTTAGTATACCATGATGTGATAACCTTTCATCAACCAGCCTTTCCCGATCTGTTAAAAATTCATGATATTTTTTAGGATCTTCTTTTCTTTCTATTCTATCACAATAAAAACATATATCTCTTTCTAAATCCTCACGAAAACATTCCATGTCCCATCAATTTACCCATTCTCTGTAATGATTGAATATTTTTGGGGATTTATTCCATGCTTGATAACATACCGATAAAGGTGATTTTGTTTGGAATTTGGAATGGTGCAAATTTTGTTTTATGATATTACCTGAGTTTCTGGTAAGCTGTCCTGTAGAGGAAAAGCCACGTTGCTTTGCAATAAGATACAATTATCATCTTTTCAATTTGCGAAGATTTTTGAGGGTTGGAAATTTACCAGTCCAGTTTTATTATTATACCTTTTATATACTTAGAACAAATTTTATCTATTAAAATGCTTGGCAATTCTGTTAATTTAGCCCCCACTCCAAATATTCGGAAATCAATGTTTTATGACTCGTAGAGTTACCCCTAAAAGGCCTGGTCTTTGTTTATATATTAATGTTTCTATTTTATATGATTGTACATTTCTTTAAATTAACAATAACCAACAAATAATAAATACAGTATATCTCAGAGAGACGCTCTAAAAACTCGAGCAATTGTATTAGTATAAGATAAAGTTTATGCTGTTACTTCAATTTCAATTCCACCCTGTTCACATTTAATATAGTAGGATCCAGCTTTATAATTACCTTCTATATTATCATGATCTAACTTGCATAGCGGGCATGAAGATTCATTATTAATCCCATAATAATAATTAAAATTTCATTGCTATATTCATAAAATAGATCTCCAATGTTTTGTTGGGAAAATAAACAAGGCGAGATCATAAGTTTGAGTACCTATATTGGCTTTTTGAAATCATATGGGCCCGGGAATTAAAGATATGAACCGTATTATTTGTGATTGTGTTTTGCCGATCGTTTATCAGGGAAACGGTTTTTATATTACATGATAAATTATTATCCAAAGTTTTTCCTCGAAGTTTCTTCTCCCCAATTCTCCATTATCTCTTTACCTCTTTACTGACCTGTTCCTTATAAACCGTTTCTACAAATTTAGGGTCTCAGCTAAACCGTCATCGATAATGTCTAGTGGCAAAGAGGTTATATATGTTTTAGATTCAGATTTTGTCAAGATATATTTTAGTTCGGGTAAACAATCAGAGTAATATCTTTCTCCTTATCAAGTGATCATCAATAGGTGATGGAACAGATTACTGGGATGTAACTGGCAACGAGGAACAAACTAAAGACTGCTAGATATCAGCAATAGTTTCCAGTTTCATGATTTTAGCCTTAAAACTCGGCATTGTTCTTCTATAATCTATTTTAGTTTTGAGTATTCGTGCTTAAGCTCAGCATTCTAGGACACAAGCTTGGCATTCTCTTGTCTGAGTAAATCTAGTTCGGAAAACATGTTTGATATTATGTGTTTTATATATTTATTTAAATTTGTGACGAAAAAAATATCGCGTTTCGATATAACCGTAATGCTTATCCGGCTGTGCAACACGAACCGGCGATCGGGAAAATTAAAATCCATATTGTCATGCTACAGTATTATGGCTATTATAAAAATATATTATCTTTTGGCATCAAGTTATTACAAAACTGTTGTCTGACTGTCTGACGGGAGCACTAAAGAATTATTTTCCGTCCCGTATAAGAAAAAACACATCTCAACCAAATTTATTTTTCGAAATCTAAGAAATACCAGATTTAGCAAAGTACAAATACTTTTGCAATAAAAACTGCAGTACATAGTGACTTTATCTACATTTAATCTATCAGTCTATCACGACCTAAAAAAAATTTCAAGTGCTTCGATTAGGCCATCATAGTTCAAGTCTTCTGCGAGTTGAAAAATTCTATTCCACAATCCTGATTTCGCATTAGACTCCCAAAAGTCCAATATATTTTGCGCCCGTGACCTAAAGTCAGGAATTCTATCAGAGGAAATTCTCTCCACTATCGTCCGTGCCGGTTTATGGAGCATTAAGTAAAACGCCCTTGCCAAACATATCAAGTCAATTTTCGGTGAATAAAATGGTTGTTTCCAGTTGACCAATGATGTCAAGACATCGTCGGGCATGCATTCAAGTGCACCCGCAAAATTCCGAGTTTGGCCTTTCGTTACGCTATATCCCCAATCGATAATCACGATGTCTCCATTATCATTACGAAGAAAGTTGTATTTTCGAAGATCCATGTGTACAAGATTGTATTGTGAATGGACGACCTTGAGGGTGTTTATGATGTTTCTGATATCCTCTTTTCGCAGATTAGTTACTTTCTCACAATAAGGAGTTGTGACAAGGATGCCATTATCGTCCAGGAGGAGGGTCTGAAGATGAGGTGAATTCAAACTCGAAAAAGTTTCCAGTACGCTTTTTTCCCTTATAAAACAAGGCAAATAATCTTCGCTTTTTGCTATCTTCACGACCACTGTTTCCTTTTCATTACGCTTTCCTAAATATACGATGCTAGTCCTTCCTGTACTGATCGGTCGAATCAGTCTTACAGTTTCTGAACCGAAGAAGAGCGATGGATCAATCCATCCAAGCTGTTTCTTAGAACATTCTGTAATGGTCACAAGGTATTTCCACCCTCTTGAAGGGGTATCCTTGGCATCGTAAGTTAACTTCTGCATTGGTATGAATTGATACGAGAATCGGATATTGTCGTTGGTAATAGCATCGCACCTAGTCACCTTGTAGATACAAATAACTCTGCAATCTGTCAATACCACGTATACAAAGGTTCTCCTCGGCTGAAGTTGGAGTACCTTTTCACCAAATGACACTGCGTGTCCTACATCGGCATTTGCAAATTCAACACCTGACCGTTTCCTTATTTCGCCAACGGCGACGACATGTAATGCATTTAGAGGATCCCCTTTTGCAATGAATACAAAGTCGGGCTTTCGAGTAGCCAGCAAGGGAATAGAAAGTGAATCTTGAACTTCAAGTTTTGAATTATCAAATGTTTGGAATGTTTTGCATTCACTAATAAAATATTCTTGTAATTTGGCTTCTGAAAGCTCCGGGTCAGGCGGGCTGTTAAACTTTCCAGGTGAACTTCTTCGGGTCATTTCGGTCAGTTGAAAGGGGAAATTAAGGATAGTACCACGTTCTTTCACATAACGTCCTTTCTCAGTTTCAATTTCGGTAGCTAAACACAAACATCAAATGGTATTTCTAGGGAAGTGATGGATTGTATGGTTAGATTGGCGACATACCTGGAGCACTAAGCCAGATTTCACTCTGAAGTCGTATTCTCTTTGCTTGAATTTGTACTTCTTCTATTTTGCCTATCACTTGTTCCAATTTCCTCTTCAGGGCCGGTGCTAACACTATCAAAAAGTTAAGTCATATCGCGTTCATTTGCGTTGACTAGATTTATTGCGACTCACCAGTTTCAACGTGTTCTGTGATAACGTGAAGGCAGGTTTGACAATAAGAAGCAGACAGGAAAAAAAAAGCACAAGTTAGTCAACGTCTAAAAAAAACATATCAAATACAATAACAGTGATTTAATGTGCGGTAAGCAAGAAAATCTAGGATAATTAATTACCTGTAGGAACCTCAACGATTACATGGATATGCTCGTCAAGAGGCTCATTGTCGTTTGAAAAATAGTAGCCGACCTTTTTAATTGGTAATAACTGGGCGCTGTTTGGCCAGGTGAGTGAATTAATCTGGTCGTCTTGATCGGCAGAGATGTTTGCACGCCATAGTTTGAGATGGTCAGCAGGAAAGTCGTTGAAATATGGTGCCTTTTTCGCCTTGATGGCGTCTTTGAGATCACCAACTGTCTCTTCCCTGCGGATATTAACGGAAAAGGCGTGCTGGGCGGCAGGAGTCATTCCTTTTTCTAAGCAAAAGAGTTTTATCGACATATTTTGGTTTAAATTTGTACAACTGCGGGACAAGAAGTACGAAAAAGAGTTAGTCCCTGATTGATGACGCATATGGTCACATGATTGGTCACGAAAAATTGTAAATTTCAAACTGAAGAAAATGCCTAAATACAAGATAAAGCTTGGACATAACACGACTGCATGGGAGAAAAAACTGGTGCACCAGTGGAAGTCAGCTTCAAAGCTTTGCCCGAAGGCGATGACTACCCTCTATTCTCTTGTTCCGCTAGGTCCTGCGTTATCACTACCAACTCCATTTTTGATGTCAAAATTCGTAGCCCCTTAGGCTTATATTGTGGTCGAGATCGTTAATTTTTTATAGCAAATCGATATTGGCGCTTAATATTAGCTATGATCTTTTGATATCAGACAATTCCGCAGTTATACTGTTTTCACTCTTTGAGTATTACCTATTGGACTAGCATGAACACGATGAGCACAAAAAAATCTGAATTGTTTGAGAACATTTTTGTGTATTTTTCATGGTTTAATGCGATATAATTTGTAATTTCACACGAACGAGTTATTAAATTTGCATATGTTTCACGTTATAGTTGTAAATTGTTCTAAAGATGAACCTACGGATATCATTTACGAAATTGACGTGTTTATAGGGTTCATGATGTCATTTGAGCTATAAATGAAGTGAAAGAAAGGATGAATAGATACTGTATCTTGTTCATTTCTTCGTGTATAACTTCTAGAAAGTCTATTCGTCGCTCCATTATGAATTCGCGCACAAAACAAAATTTTATGTTGAGGAAATACTTCAATAGATGAATTAGTTAGATTGCGTACCTTGTATTAAATGAATTAATGATCAGGATGTGGTTCGAACATCCGCTATTTTTTGTATGCAGTAGGCAATCATTTATTAATAATAAATAGGCCATTGGTTCACAGTAATTACGAAATCAAACCATAGCCATTTTGCTAAGCTAATTTATCTTGATTTTTTATTTTCATTTTTCTATTCATCTTCTTTTTGAATAGCTTCTAGTACCCACAAGATATGAGAAAGAATTTCTTTACCTTGACTTTCATATCCGCATCCTCATATACAGCCATGACCGGTTTCGATCAATGCGCATTCAAGGAAGTAGAATTATTTTTGCTTCAGTAACAATTACGAAAATGGAGCTGACAACCTGTTCAACCTTCAGTTTATTAACCTTCCATTTGTGGCTCATTTATACATACCAAAACAGTATTTACATGAGAGATAAGACATTCAGAAAAAAACGAAAAAAAGAAAATATCTAATTCTTAAATATTTGTATGCTCATCAATGATGATTCCATTTGTACACTTGCTTATGCAATGCCTTGCAAATTTCTTTCTCAAATTCTACATAATCCATCCGTTGTACATTATTCCATCGCATAGTCGGTTTTACCTTGCCTGTTTTTTCTAGCGAGAATGGATAGTTATTTTATATACTTTCAATGACTTTTTCGGGTCAGATCAATTTTTCGAAAAGTGAGATAGCAGATGCAAGGTACGAGTAGGTATATATTGTTTTTGCTCGCTTCATACGAGAGGGAGATGTATGTTGTGGCAAGATGGGTTTTTAATTTTAGCATTAATTTATTCAGGGCGGTTTTGAACTTTTTGTTTTTGATATCAGAGCAACTATAAGAAAAGGTTGGAAATATGGATACATCTGGATTCGGATCTTCAGTAGTTGTTGAAAGCCTTTAAGGGAGTCTCTATAAATATTGTAAACTTGAAACTGTTTTTCGAGACGAGAAGATGGGGCTAGAGTTCCAATTGATAATATGTTACTGTTTTATTGGTTTTGGTTTGATACTAATTTTTCAGCTAAAAATACTGAATCAAAAATTTCAGTAAAGTATCAATCAGTATTAAATGAATGTTATTAATAAAAGTTATATCAAATTGTAAGTGCAAAAATATATTATAAAGAAGTTTTTTTATAAATATTAATTACTTAAGATTTAATTAGTTTTAGATCAATGTTAATTTTTATATAAAAATATTAAATCTATAATTTTTTTTGATATCTAAATTTATTTTATTAAAATAAATAATTAAGATATAACCTCTTATTTATACTGTTAGCAGGGAAAAATGTGTAGGTTGATCCAGATCGCTGATAGTAGTGATTTGAACCGATTAGACCATAATCGGGTAACCAACCTTAACCGAAGAAATTCGGTTGAACCGGTTGAGAAAA